CAACGAAGGAAGAATCTGATTGGTTTCATGAGATATCGAATCATTATTTAAATATTTGATTTATCATGATTTGTCTCATTGCGATTCTCTCTCTCCCTTTGCTAGATATAGATTTTACTGGTTATCTCAACCGTTCGAACAAATGCAACTTTCGCGCTCAAGCTGAGGTAATAAAGCGGAACCGTCAGGAACCTTCCACAATTATATCTACAGACACTCAATTCGATCATTGAAAATACGGTCCTGCTGGTGAAAGCTCTTATCGGTTTTATATACGGGCATTTTTGCGATATCTAGCAAGATTTCCGAAAACCCTTCAAGTTCAATTCTAACTAGACAATCAAAATCCGTCTCTTTGAGTTCATCATCTAGGGTCTTTGCGAGGGATTCCATGTCTGTCTTATTCAAGTAGTTTTGGAAAAGGTGTGGTTTATCCTCACATCGTTTCAAGAACTCTACAAGTTGCGCTTCGTAACTGGGTTCATTTAAACAGATAAGCACTAAGACTCGTATCAGTCGACGGACAATGATCAAAGCAATCTGCTGGTCAAGGTCAATAGGCTTATGATCGACCAGGATGCAAATAAGATGTCGTGCTTGCCAGAAAAAATCCCAGATTAAATTACGATGGCTTTCTATGTTGCGCTCATCGTCTTGACTTGAGAGACGTAGGTTTCCAGAAAAGAAGTTTTCGCTAAATTCAGTGTAGTAATCATACAAATAACTTCGAGGAAGGTAAAAGTCGTAACGTTCGGGATGAGTGAAAAATGCCAAAGACGTTGTAAATTCCATAAGAGACACCAGATCACCAAGAGCTTGATCCGCAAGCAAGTTTACTTCATCAGTAAATCGTAGAGCGTATGCGATAAACCTTTTCGCGTATATTATTGCAGTAATCATTTTGCCAGATTTGAGATGGTTGATAAATTTCGATAGTCGAACTGCAATTGGGACTACTTTGTCGCCCTTCTTATTATATTCAAAACCGATAGGCAAACCTTTAGTATTAGCTGACTCTTCCGTACTACCATTCTTAACTGGATACCAAGATTTCGATATCTCATCACAAAACTTATTAATAATCTTCTCATCTTGCAATTGCAGAGAAACAAACATACATTTTAACAAGTTTGCAAAATACTGAGCCTGCAGATCATCTCCCAACCATTGCTTGCGAGCATGCTCACTGATCCTACCACGTACGTCGGAAAATCTGTTAATATGATCATACATAAGCTCCGGAAAACTAGCCTTCGGCAGTTGATAACGAACATGATATTTAACGAGATTTTCGGTCCAAAACTTTTGCAAGTGATAAGCGTCTTGTTTTTGTTCTTCCTTAAGACGGCGTTTGCGGGTCAATTCTAACACATCTAGCTGCTGTATCACAGTATAGTGGAGACATGCAAGTGACAAACGTCGATGCAGATTTTCTCGTGTTGGCTCCATGTGATGTCGTTGGCAGGTTCTGTCCTCACAAGGCCACCAGTAGCAGATATAAGAAGTTATATCAGGAATGCTTTTACATTTTTCGCCTGCTTCCCAGATAAACTCATACATATAAGAAGAAAACAACTGTATGATTGTCTGGCGTACAATGCGTTCGTTGTAGACATTCCAATCGCCTGTGATATCTATTACATTGTTTTCGCCCATGTTATTAATAAGTGAATTTTGCAAAGGAATTTGTCGCTTATTCTGATGGTCCTCCATTTCTCTTACACAAAAAACGTTCTCAAAATCCTTGCAAGCTTCCTTTTCCTCGGTGTTGTCACCATTCCGAGTTGATTCCATAAAAGGGTGGGCTAGTTTAGACAGCCTCAACAAGTACTTTAATTTTTCGCGCCAGTATTCTGCCTGATTATCAGCGTTTGTGCGGATTTTTAGCCATAATAATATTGCGCGACATTCAGCAGCATGCCCCTTGCACTCGTTGAAGAACCGTATACATTGTTGAATGGCATCAAGGTCTCTGTTCACATAAGCCGAGTATAACCGAATTTCTTCTTTCATCATATTCCATTGTCTGGATCCTTTCAACGATTGTGATTCAAATTTTGTAACTTCTGTCGTCTTGTCAAGGAGACGACGAAGCTCTGTTAAACTTGTGGTATCCATGATTATCCCGTTCAATACATAGATTTTGCATAACTCCAGAAGACATTGTAGAGCTCCCATAACGTTCTCTTCATGATCGGCTGAGCGGGCAAACATGGTAGATGCTTCTTCAAATTTACCAAGAGAGCGTAAGTGTTCGGCTGCGACGCGAAATTGTGCATTCTCTTCACAAAGT